TCGTAACACCCGTTCTCCCGGCCGAACCGCGTTAGGGCCACCTATCCCTAACAGGGCAATTTAAAATGGTCCTCCCTGTATGTTTAAAAATCGAAAATTAATTTAATAAATTCGATTCGCGGTTCAGTTATTTTGCTCGAGCTTCGGATTGAGGTTTTTCTCCGAAAGTACGGATCAAGCTAACCGCTAGAAAAATGACATATCGACAACATTGGTATTTTATACGACCTCCGGAGCGGGAATGTTTATCGAGACACGCGCCGAATTGCGCGGCAAAAAACAGCACGAAGGATCGTTGTCTATACGCTATCGACGTCACCGTCCGATCGTTAACGGATCGGAGAATTAAAATTTGAATATGCTGAGTGGGAAAAGGTATAATCGTGAGTGAGACAACGGATAGGCGCGACTCTTCTATACCACGCGCCGAAGTCAGCGCGTTAGAACGACGATTCCGTCTGAGTCTACGTGTGAACATCGCGATAAAGTAATTAGACTCGTGATAAGACGTAGTAAATAGCCGGTTCGGCAAGACGTACGAATTCCAAGGTAAGAGGAACATCGATTGAAGGAAATAGCGGCCACGCAGAAGAAGTTCGCGGTAAAGCGAATACGAACCACCTCTAAGACCGAATTAGAAACGGCTGACGGCTTGGGCAGTACGTTGCGTTAAACGAACTACTGCAGTTCGTCATCCTCGGGCCCCTCCTGATGCGGTAAGTTACATCGCGCCCTATAAGGTCGGGTCTCGAAGCTCGTTGCTACGAGCGGTGTGGAGAGACGAACGTTGAGCGTGATTCTGCTCCGTTTCACGGCAAGGGACTTGCTTGTGAAGCCGCTGCATTCATCGAGAAAATAATACAGTCCACTGCGCAGAGTTCTGCCCAGAAGCGGCGACTCTTTCCGCACGAGATCGAAGTGCGACGAAATTCTTATCTAATTCGCATTTGCAACATTTCAGGAATACCGAACGTCGAAGACGTTGAAGTAGGAACTCAACGAAAGATAATCACACGAGGACGAGCACGGACGGCGCCGACTTAACCGACGACGACTGGGACGGATCATTCCCCGGCAATTCCGGAGTACAGGCCCCGACGTCCTATGTCCGCCGTGAAAAAGTTTAAATAAAAAGGCGTTAAAAGTGCTGTACAAGTGTCCGGTTTATTTCGCGCTCTGTACCTCGAATCCGGACCCGTTAGGGGCCACCTATTTCCTAACGGAATGTTTTATAAAACTGTGCAACTTACCTGTTTGCTGTATGTTGAAAACGATCCATCCTGTTTTTTGCCGAGATGACATCATAAGTTCTGGAGAGAACGGAGAAAACCAACCGGCAGGAGCGGTTTTATTGAAATTTGGATTCAATTCCTCTACGTAAGTGAGTGGTATCCACCACTTGGTAGGGTATTCGTCGATTTTTACCAAGTCGATCACGAAATGTTCCTGTGTCAATAGGTAGCCCCTTTTGATTCTCTTAACTGTCAACGTCGGATATCCCGGATACTCCACCCAGTTATGCATTATAGTTTCCACAGGATCTGGCCATTTAATCCCATGTTCGCCCATGGCTTTCTCCAGGGATCGGAATAAGTCGTACGAATCCACATTACCTAACGCACTGTAACAGTCATTCTTATTTATTAATGTGATAC